AACTTTTTATTCCTTTTCAACCACACATTCTTAAAAAAAAAATACTATTTCAGACATTAAATTTGAAAAAAAAAGAGAGCTAAACGATATATGTACAAACAAGTAATTATTGACTCTGATCATTTGGATATAGCAGTTTAGAAACTAATTGGAGTTTTAATTACATGAAACTTTTGTTTGATTTAACTAAAAAATATGATAAAAGTTTAAGTCAAAGTTGACAATTAATTTTAATCCCACATTAAATAAAATTCACAAATTTATCAATTTTTAACAATAAATTTTATCAACTTTTATCAAAATCTACAAAAATATGATAAAAAATAATTTGAATTTAAAATAAGCCATTTTGGTCAATAACTTTAAATTAGAACTGAATTTAAAGAAGTCAAATGATTTTACAATTTTATTCTTACTTTGGACTCCCCTTTCTCATCTAAAAAGTGTAAAGATTTATACTCGGAGCTAAAAAATAATTGAGCAACCAAAATTTGTTTTGTTTATTGATATTATCTATTATCTTACATATACAAAGTTTCCAATACTATACATTATAAAGTAAGAACAATTCCGCTGGACTTATTTTTGTGTAGAATATATCTACTAAAATTAATTTATAAGAAGTTAGCATATACTAGAATTGTGATGAAAAATTGTCTGAATTGTATAGAACTTTATCGATAACAAAAAGAACAATACAAATACAAATTTATGGATCTGATGCGAAGATTTTCTCAACCAAAGATCATGTCCTTCGTTAACTTCGAGAATTCCTCACGGACTCTAGACTTTTTAATAAATTTCGTAAACCTAATTCCATGAACTTTTAATTCAAACTTTTAAGTATTCAAGAGTTTGATAATGGCCATGCGCTAGATATTTAGGAGTGTGGTTGAATGAGACCAAAGTAAGGGATGTAGATACGATCAAGACAAGAAAACCAATGGAAAAACTGTATAATCGTACACGAAATTTAATAGTATCATTTCTCATGCTATGTAGATCTAGCTTAAATTAAAGAGTTATAATACGAAGGCTAAGATGTTGTGCTAAATTGGATCAATAATTTGATCGGAATAATTAAAATCTAGCCGAAACTAATATGGGAAAAAATTATTCAAAAAATTTGTTGAATTTTATAATTCACGGCAACGCAATTGACGTTACCAATTGACCGTGCTAAAAACTGATCGATTCCATTCCTCTATCGGGTCACAAAAATCGGTGTCGACTTCATAAAAAGCAAATAATTGCTGGATAAGCCAATCCAGGTAATAATCTGATTGTTATGTTCGCCGATTCGAATGTCACAATCTGAACTAACTTCCGTAACACGAATCCTAAAATGACCGTTGCAGGGAAAGAGAAATCATTGTTGGCCACGAAAGTGCTGATCGTCCCTGGCTAACATAATACAGGTAACAACGGATTTTGCTGCAGTCACAACTTGAAATCGATAATCATGAGATTAATGTCGTTTGTCACAAAATTAGTATGACATCTAAGTTATGGATTGTATCGTCATTAGCTGGTTTTTCGTCACAGGTTGCTGCTCAACAGAATTGCAGTAGATGCTTGTGACACATGCGTGAACTGTGTGTGTAAATGTGACCTAATCTATGAAACTGTAACCCCTCTGCTGTGAAATGAGAAATGTTTCAACAACTATGTACCATGTATTTAGCATCAAACATCTTGTTATTCACCTCAAGTCTATGTGACCTCTGAATGATAGCAATCTGTGACCTGACATTGGAAACGTAATGTGTGACCTGATTTATGGCTCTGTAACCTTAACTTTTAATGTGTGGCCTACTTTGTGAAACTGTGACCTGAATTGTGAAATGGTAACTTATCTTATGTGACATGTTTCCCCCACTATGTTCCATATATGTAGCATCAAACATGTCGTTATTCCTTTCTTGCATATGTGACCTCCCTGTCAACTAGGTAGTCTGAATAATATCGATCTGTGACCCGACATGTGATTGTCTTATCAAGAATTATCCGTAACCAGGTTTGCTAATTTGTGACATGATTCGTGAGTCTGTGATCTGATTTGCGAAATTGTGACCTCTCTGCTGTGTCGTGTGACATGTAACATGTTTCACTTACGATGACATTATTGATATTGATTTTAATTTGCAGAATGGTGTACTTGCACGTATATTTAATGTATGGATTGCAATCATCATTGGTGTTGGTATCTTGCAACTGCAGTTATAAAGTAAGAACAATTCCGCTGGACTTATTTTTGTGTAGAATATATCTACTAAAATTAATTTATAAGAAGTTAGCATATACTAGAATTGTGATGAAAAATTGTCTGAATTGTATAGAACTTTATCGATAACAAAAAGAACAATACAAATACAAATTTATGGATCTGATGCGAAGATTTTCTCAACCAAAGATCATGTCCTTCTTTAAACTTCGAGAATTCCTCACGGACTCTAGACTTTTTAATAAATTTCGTAAACCTAATTCCATGAACTTTTAATTCAAACTTTTAAGTATTCAAGAGTTTGATAATGGCCATGCGCTAGATATTTAGGAGTGTGGTTGAATGAGACCAAAGTAAGGGATGTAGATACGATCAAGACAAGAAAACCAATGGAAAAACTGTATAATCGTACACGAAATTTAATAGTATCATTTCTCATGCTATGTAGATCTAGCTTAAATTAAAGAGTTATAATACGAAGGCTAAGATGTTGTGCTAAATTGGATCAATAATTTGATCGGAATAATTAAAATCTAGCCGAAACTAATATGGGAAAAAATTATTCAAAAAATTTGTTGAATTTTATAATTCACGGCAACGCAATTGACGTTACCAATTGACCGTGCTAAAAACTGATCGATTCCATTCCTCTATCGGGTCACAAAAATCGGTGTCGACTTCATAAAAAGCAAATAATTGCTGGATAAGCCAATCCAGGTAATAATCTGATTGTTATGTTCGCCGATTCGAATGTCACAATCTGAACTAACTTCCGTAACACGAATCCTAAAATGACCGTTGCAGGGAAAGAGAAATCATTGTTGGCCACGAAAGTGCTGATCGTCCCTGGCTAACATAATACAGGTAACAACGGATTTTGCTGCAGTCACAACTTGAAATCGATAATCATGAGATTAATGTCGTTTGTCACAAAATTAGTATGACATCTAAGTTATGGATTGTATCGTCATTAGCTGGTTTTTCGTCACAGGTTGCTGCTCAACAGAATTGCAGTAGATGCTTGTGACACATGCGTGAACTGTGTGTGTAAATGTGACCTAATCTATGAAACTGTAACCCCTCTGCTGTGAAATGAGAAATGTTTCAACAACTATGTACCATGTATTTAGCATCAAACATCTTGTTATTCACCTCAAGTCTATGTGACCTCTGAATGATAGCAATCTGTGACCTGACATTGGAAACGTAATGTGTGACCTGATTTATGGCTCTGTAACCTTAACTTTTAATGTGTGGCCTACTTTGTGAAACTGTGACCTGAATTGTGAAATGGTAACTTATCTTATGTGACATGTTTCCCCCACTATGTTCCATATATGTAGCATCAAACATGTCGTTATTCCTTTCTTGCATATGTGACCTCCCTGTCAACTAGGTAGTCTGAATAATATCGATCTGTGACCCGACATGTGATTGTCTTATCAAGAATTATCCGTAACCAGGTTTGCTAATTTGTGACATGATTCGTGAGTCTGTGATCTGATTTGCGAAATTGTGACCTCTCTGCTGTGTCGTGTGACATGTAACATGTTTCACTTACGATGACATTATTGATATTGATTTTAATTTGCAGAATGGTGTACTTGCACGTATATTTAATGTATGGATTGCAATCATCATTGGTGTTGGTATCTTGCAACTGCAGTTATTTAAACCTTGTGGGCACAATTATGATAGAATTTGCTCTGGATCCTACGAAGGCAGCAGTGTCATTAAAGTACATAATGAAGGAAGATTTGCCCATCATTAGGGTAAAAATGACAATAATGTGCCATCATACATTCTGCTGAAGGACATGGGGCGTGAAACTGCTAAATATCCGTTAATCGTTGATGTTGTTGAGGCAGAAATAGATAATACGTCGATCACAGTGCCAGTCAACGTGCATTCTAGCAGTGAGATGTTTACATTGCAAGACATGACATCAGACATATGCGAAGCGTCAAATGAAAAATGGGCCACATTTGTAACACTAAAGTCACAGTTGTGTCTGTCGTGGATGCTAAAGAGGTAGAAGAAGGAAGGGTGTTTTATGATAAGGATATTTTGAAAATAAGCCTATCATTTTTTGCAATACAGAACATGTTTGAGTTCATGGTTGAACGGTCCAACAAGAAAGAATATGTTGTGAGGTGTTTGAATGGTGGATATAGTTGGATATGTAGAGCGTCGGTGTGGGGGTAAAACGGATCTATTTAAGATTCGAAAAATTGGTAGTCACACATATGCATCAAATGTAATATTGGGATCACATAGGCAAGTTCCATCAAAGGTTGTGTCATCTACGATTACGTACAAGTACACATCGTCCCATACTATATATACTTCAAAGGACATATGCAGTGACATGTTGAATACTTATGGGGTTTATTTCGGTTATTAGAAAGCTTGGAGATCTCGCGAGCAAACTTCGAAAATGATTAAGGGTGACCCAACCGACTCATTTGGTAAGTTGTCAAGCTTCTTCTACATGCTCTGACAAAAAAATCATGTACCGTACCAGAATTAGAGGTTGATAGTCACAGTAAGTTCAAATATTATTTTATGGTGCTTGGATGCATCAATACGGGGATAGGAGCATTGTGATTGGTGATTGTTGTTGACGGTACATACTTGAATGGTAAATATGGAGGTATCCTTTTCACAGCATGTAAACAAGATGCAAATAATAGCATATTCATTCTTGCTTTTGGAATTGGAGACAGTGAGAATGACAAATCTTGGAGATAGTTTTTCGATAAGTTGAAAAAGGTGTATGGAAATAGAGAATGACTGTGTTTGTGTCGGATCGTCACCCAAGTATAAATAATGCAATAGAACATGTCTATCCAGGAGCCTCTTATGGTATTTGTTCGTATCATTTGCTGCAAAATCTAAAATCATATTATTGGAAGTCAGCCAAAAGCATTCAATTTGGCTGTCCGCGCTTATATACTGGAAGAATATGATTATAACATGTCTCTATTGACAACGATGAATGGGAAGATTATTTCTTATTTGGTAGTGTAATACATGTTATTTCATTTCACATACATATAAATGGTCCCATACAGTATTTTTATGATGTTCATCGAATTGATTTATGTTTGCAAGCTAATGTTGGACCTGAAAGTGGTCACGAATATATATGCCAACAAACAGATGTTCAACAATGACATCAAAAATTGTGGAATCGATCTACGCGGTCATGAAGGCAGCCAAAAATTACCCTATTGTATCCTTGCTAGAGTCATTGCGACAAACCATACATTCGTGATTTTGTAGACACAGGGATGATGATCACGAAACTTTCACGAAGTTGACGAGCAAGTATGAGAAAGAGATTAGGAAAATGAGCATGGATTTGAGGAACTTAAGGGTAATTTTCATTATTTTAAAATTCAGATGTATATGTGACCCCATCATAAGTGTCAGTATCTCGAACTGTCATGTGACAAAGGTAATATGTTACCTGTTTTGTGATTCTATGATGTTTTTAGTAAACTAAGGTATGGAATGTAACTGTGTACTCTCTGTCAACTCTATATTCTGATGCATGTCTATCTGCCACTTGAGGTCTGGACCACATGTGTAACCTGCTTTCTTAATCTATGAATGAACTCAGGGGTATGAGTCATTCGTACGTGACAGACACGTTGGAGTATATGCGACCTGTATATAACTACATGTGATATGACTGTTATTACATACACTCAGGTATCTTCTTCAAACCAGACAGTGCTTTCTGTCAGTAATGAAAAGTCGACGTTTGTCATTGATAATGAGCAACGAATGTGCACTTGCAAAATTCTACAAGTTGATTTATTACTATCTCCACACACCTTGACTGTAATTGCAAATACAAAAAGAGATCCATATGATTACTATTCTTATTATTACACAAAAGATGCATACTTGAATGCATACCAAGATTCGGTATATCCCGTTGGAAATCAAGAGGAATGGACAGTGCCAGAAGAAGTACAGCAAGAAATAGTGTTACTTCCTAATCAGAAGAGGAGTTGTGGAAGACCTACGAAGAAAAGGAAGAGATCGTCCAGAGAAGGGAGATTAACGATAAAATGCGNAAATTTACACCATATATATATGAAAAATAGCATTAAAATGTAATCGAAGATGGATGACTCATGAACTTCAACACGTTAATATCATTTACTGTACATCAAAGGTTACGAGTAACTATTCATTACAAGAATCTCTATTGACCAAACACGTGCAATATTCATAACATTTACAAACTAGATCATTGTCTTCACTAACAAATCAAATCAAATTTTAATTCTTTAACAAGCGCTTTTCCCGTCATAAGCTGATTCACTCTCTTCGTGTAAACCTGTCGATGTTTGTAGAGCAGTATAGCAATATCCATTCTGAACTTACTGACATCAAACTTATGAGGAATGGAACATCTACCACCACGGATAAGATATAGCACATATAACACCACGAATATCCTGCAATCATGACTGCAGAACATATGACACACTGTTATGAATCAATTTTTCAAAAGAATATACACATTGTAAATCTTGGTCACGGACTTACCCATTTGTCTGCTGAGGGAGTGTGTCGTCAATGATCACCTTCAATTCTTTGACTTTTGATACGTGATAATCAGGATCCGTCTTGGAAATTTTCAAGGCATTCATTAGAGCAGATAATACCTTCATGTATGACTCAATACCTTGCAAAACCTTTCAATCACAATAAGATTTACCTACAGAGTTGAACACCGTCATGATATGACTTCTAAATTCTAACAGGCCAAGCATCTAATGTGCTTTGTTGGTGGGTATAATCGGTATGAACACATAGTCAACATCGACCCAGGGTGAGCTAAAGGGAAAGCTGTGACCTGTTACAACCTTAACTAGGCTAGACTCTAACATCAGAACATTTGGGTCCTTCATAAAGGCAAGGAAAATGTCTTTTATCTTAGTCTGGAGCCATGAGTTTGTAGTGGTGGCTTTGTATTTCACCTTTTTGCCAAGTTTTGCGACCTGACAAATGAAGTAGAAGTAAGCATCCATGTGCTGTTTCAATAAGAAGAAAAAGATTTAAGCATTACGTACAACAAATTGGATAGAAAAATGACTCTGTGACTAGGTCCGGTGTGAAATGTGATCTATTTGTATCATCTCTGTTACTCTTCTTAACGAGTACCAAGGAAATCAGACTTCTTAAAAAAGTAATGTAACTTAATTGAGTGCGTAAATGTAATCATACCGCACCACTGAGTGATGACTCCGAATTTATAAGCTCGTGGAACCAAGTCTTATGACCAACTGGGAATGAACCAATTAAAAAAGCAGGCTTGATGGCATTCGTCTTCCTCGCTAAACTTTTTCCTGTGACCAAAAATGAAGGTTACATTCTTTTGTCACACTGGGTATTGAGAAACTTTTCACAGATAGGTATGAAATGCACTTACTTGTTTTTTGGTTTATACCCCATCTGGAACTAACCCATGAAGGCCGATTTGTCAATCTCGTAAACGCTGTCTTTGTAATTCTAAAAAATGACAACATTATTATCATGCTTGAATAATTTTTCCCTCTCCTGTCCGACAACAAAAGGAGACTGCAATACCCTTGCAAACCTTAAAACTCGCTTCACTGGTAATTCAGAGGTTGGTTCGGCAGTAGGTGATCCCTGTATGTTATTGCAGTAGGTTACAAATTGGTTAAAAATACAGCACATAAGTTGTCTGTGGCATGGTTTGGAAGCGTGTGTAGTCTGTCACCTTTACATGTGACTTGGTTTGAGTGTCTGTGATATGTGACATATGCCTGAAACATGGTTTGGAAGTGTGGGTGCCATGTGACACATGAATATAACATGGTTTGGAATGTGTGTTATTTGTGACTTATAAATAGGACATGGCCCAAAGGTATCTGTGATCTGTTATCTGCGAATGTGATATAGTTTGGAAGTGTGTGTGATCCATGACCTATGAATGGGACATGATTTGAAAGTGTATGTGCTCTGTGACCCAATGACTGGAAAATGTGTTTTTATTGTGTGTTATCTGTGACCTATGAAAGTGGCTGTTTGGAATGTCTGTTATCTGTGACCTATGAATAGAACATGATTTGAAGTGTGTGATATGTGACATATGAATATAACATGGTTTGGAGGTATGTGTGATATGAGACCTACGACTACTGGAACATGTAAATACTTCATTCTCAACAATTTTTGTTTCCGTCACCACATCAGATATGGAATCTATCCGCTTCTGAATTTCCTCTGAATGTAAAACATTGGGTAGGGTGTATTCAATCCCCAAATCAAATGATGGTGGTTCAAAGGAAAATGGAAGATTATCACTTAGGTCCATTTTGCCCTTCTCTTTTTTGTCCACATTTGATAACACGTTTTCCACCTATATGTTGAATGAGAAATGTCAAATTAAACTATGTTCTTTTACAGATATGTGAAATATATCAAGTGACTACCTTCTGAACCTTGTCAGATCCACCAACAACATGATGTTCTTGATTTCCATCTCCAGAAGTTTCTATTTGTCCTACTCCACGCTCGTTTGTCCTCTCACCAGACCATCTAATGATCTCATCCATTGCACTGGAGATCATTGCTGACATGGACTTGGATAAAAACTGCATGTTTGTCCGAATATCCATCAGGTCACTTTTAATACAGGCTTGCATTTGTACAATGTCATCCATTTTGTTAGTCTTCCCTTCGTTCAAGGATGACATCTTTGACTTGATGTCATCAAGCTCCGCCTTCAACATTTTATTATCCGCCTGGAGTTTAGATACTTGCACACGCAACTTTTGAATAGCCTGACAAAATGAATACAAAATATTATAAGTTGCTAGGGACATATCTGTGATCAAACATAGACATGCAGTGCACACTGGTGTATCTATAACCTGAAATGTAAGAAATGTGACATAGAAAATACTGATGTGCGACCAATAATGAAAATATTGAGAATTGACTAACATAACAACTTACGTCATCCCATTGTGCCCCATGAGATTGTGGCTTCTCTTGAGAATGATGAGCGATTGATGGGCCTTTAACAAGCGGGGATTTTAGACGGGTGGATGGCTCCTGCCATTTTGGAGGAGGAGCAACAAATTCGTCATCATCATCTGAAGAGTGGGCCTACCCAGTACTACTATCCATCAACGGTAGGATTGATGAAGCAGACTTTTCACTAGTACCAGCATATTCAACAAATCTCTTCGTCATGCGCTTGGTTCTTCTTCGGCTCTCGGATGAGGACGTCAATTGGATTGGCTTGTTGTACTAGACTCCGTTCATGTATGGCATCACCATTTCACTTTCCAACGGTTCCAAGTCACAAATCTCAATCTGCAATACAATATGTAAATTATACGAATGCAAAGTCAAACGTTCGGTATTGATTACATGACGCTTACTGGAACTTTACCTTAGGATTGGAGAAGCAGTCGGGTCCTTCTAATTTGGCAGCGGATGGTTGCTCATATGCCATCCAGTTTATCCTTGTAATCACAATGCTGTTAAGACTGGGAAAAGTCTCATATATCTATGCTTGGAAGGCTACAAGCGTTCCTCGTAACCTGTAGTGTAGGGTTCTCCTACGAAGGCCATCTCTCAATGCACCCAGAGTAATTTGGAATAATAGCTTGCCCCATGGAAAATTGTTCATTTCAATAAAGTCCTTAACCAGAACAAAAAGGAAGTGGTCGACAACCTTATTGTAGCCACGGGAAAGAGATAGGCAGTTAGGAAATACAAAGCCCGGAACATTACAACATCATCATCTGGTAGGGCTTCAACCAGATCGAGGTTAGGCATTTGGCATGCGGACAAAAATATGTCCTTCGCATCTTCATGTGTGACAACATCTACTTGTGAAAAGTATTTGACCTTCAACTTTGACTGTCTATTTCCGAAGACCTAAGTATCTGTATCACCTGAACATTCTTATCTTGTGACCAAACAGAACTAGAGATGGAGAACTTGACATATCGCTCGAAAACATAAAATCGTATTTCTTTCTCATTCGGGTGTTGAACCTTCCTTAGAAGGAAGTAGTGAATCAACTATGATTGAATCACTATTTCATGGTAATCCAACAAGTGGAAAAAACATGTGCCCCTCAATATCTGTTTCTAACGTCGGTTTAGCTTTGACTGTATGGTGGTGAGAACACCCTTGTACACAAAGGTTGTAATCCTGCCAGGAAACCAAACTTTTTCTGGTATTTTGAATTAGCAGACCTACATTAAGCACTAATAATGATGAAATTGTTAAATACTTGTACTATGCCCCTTTTGTTTCTCATTTTTTGAAGAATGAGAATGAAAAATATAGCTGTTACGGGCCCCACATAAGAGATAGAAATTCAAATTTGGTGGTTTGATGTGATGGATAACGGTCATATTTTTCATTTTAATGAAGAAATAATGGGAACCAAATAGGGGTTATAATTCAAAGAAAATGAAATATTAAATCTTCAAGTTTAAGGTCACGTTCACCTCGTATGAAATGGTCACACATGGACATCGTATGGCTAAAACACAGCATCAGCCATGTTAACAGTCAGGTCACAAAAATACAAAGTCTTTTCATTCAGATCACAGATTCCCAACAAACTTCAGTCACATCAACCATGTTAACATTCAGGTCACAGGTACACGGAGTCTTTTTATTCGGGTCACAAATTCACAAAAACTTCAGTCACATTCACCTATTAAGGTCACATTTAGAGTCCTATCCCCATTCCAGTAAGTTCATAGGCAGTCATATCCATATGCATTCACGTCACAGATTCGAAATATATGCAGTCATATTTCCCAGTTTTTGAGTTGTGATTTTGGGTATTCATGATTAGACAACGGATTGTTCGTAATATCGAAAATGAAAATCCAAAGATCAAACATTCTGCGTTCAAACTCTATTTGATGCAATAAGAACAACAAGGCAGAGGAAACTCTGTTAAGAAGTAAAAATAGCAACTTCTACTTGAATTTTCAAGTGGATGACACCAGTCAACCAGTCTCAGTCAAGGATAGCTAAAGGGTCCCCTGTCCAAACTTCGCTTATTTGCATCTGGTATGCCATTCCCGAACTAGAAGTCTGGTTGTTTG